ATGACCACCTATTAGGAAGGACAGCTAAGGCATAGTAAGAATATTAGAAGATTAATGATGCAAAATGTGCCTATGAAAATGATGGAGAAAACAGAAGCCATTGCAAGGAAATGTTGTGCTTGTTGTTGATTCTGAGATACTACATCTACTGTCAAGCCCAAGCTGCCTAGGGAGCCACAGCTGATACTGTTCTGTCTTGTGTGTTGATCAGGCAGTGACGGCAGATGCATTCAAAGCACTTAACCTCTCCCAAATGTAAAAATGTTAAAAGTACATTATATTTAACCCTTTAATTTTTTTAAAACATAAAACTCACTTAGCAATTCCCGAGGGAAATGTCTACATAAATATAGTAAAATAAAAATTTTCACTTGTCTAAGATGGGTGATGACATTCAGTTTTATGAATCATAAATATTATGGCAGCAATTTCTTCTGAGGCACTATGAATGAGTCAAGATAAATAATAACCTTTTTTGTAACAGTAACAAGAAGAAAATAGTTACCATATCATCATTTAAATAATAAAAATAACACAGTTTAAATATTTCTCCCTAAACAAGGTTCAATACAGGAAAATAGTTAGCCTTAATTTATTAAACATACCATCCTTTTTAAAGAAAAACATTATACATTGGACTTCATTAATTCAGTGACAAGTTCAGTTTATGTTTTATACTGTGCTGCCCCCCTCACCATGAAAATGCAATTGAGTCAATCAATTAAAAAATTACAAAGGTAGAAAAGAATTAAACACAGAAGGAATGCAATTCAAAGAACTTTAAAGGCTGTTCAAAGTTACCCAGGCAACTAAGATGAAACTCATGGCTAAACTTTGTTTCTCCAGATTCTATATAGAGGAATTTGGTTGTAATGCACATGTATGCTCCACGTTGATTATCATGCTTAATAGATAACCTGAGTGTTTTCTTCTTGTGATAGCATTTACCTACTACAGTCATTAGACTTGGGGTTACCTGAGGTTTTCATTAATAAAATAAAGTTAATGATAGTTTAAATTATTACAGTGTGGTAGCTCACTGAAAAAAGTAAGTTATTTAAAACTGGTATGGACATAATTTACATGGGCTAATGCATAGTCTTTGCCTTCGATTTGCTGTGTCCGATCTCTATTCATGGTAGCATGAGTGAACCTTTATATATTTTGGCTTCTACAGGGCTGTAGAGAGGCAGAATAGGTAAGAGAAGAGCTTAATCCATTGGATAAAAGATGATTGGTGATAGGGTAAACAAAATGTAACTATTGGCAAATAAATAAAAAACCTTTAAACTTTTAGAATTACAATAAGCTTGGCAGAAGAAGAAAGAGATAACAAGTAGAAGTTTATAGTTATCTTTTATTATATGTCAAGAAGGGTAATGTGCTGGGTGTTAATGGCCTCATCAAAAAGTAAACAAGAGCCTCCATAGATGGACTTAACTCTCCATATTGCCTCTCTGGTTCTTATTCCAATTTCATTTTTTCAGTAAACAGTCCTGGCTTTATCTATTAAACTGTGGTAATAGTTCAGGCAAGGGATCTCATATCAGAGTCTTTCCGTATGTCTTGTTAATTTTCAAAGAAATGTAATTGTCTAAGCATTGCATCTCACCATTTTTGTAACTCGATAGTATAAAAAGTGCTAATACTAATATGCGGCCCATTTAACATAAAGATTTCATTATGCACAGGACAATGGAAAAAACTTTTTATGGGAGAGTCCACTTAGCAGGGTTCACTTGAAACCCTAAGCTCTCTTTTGCAACGGCCAATGCATGACTGCAGCTGAGAGCTTTGCTGTGTGTTCCTCAGATGACACTGAATCTAAAACGTTCTTTTCCCATTTGTGAGTGTCTAGTAAGGATATGACTTTTAACTTAAACAATATTAACTGTGACTTTTCTGTTTCTTCTGGAATTTGAGGGCCTCTTTAATTCCAATTTTCCTCAGTAAAGTACCTGATATTCCTTCAGACTTACCCTCAAGATTTAGTCTTGGATTTTTTACTGAGGCCCAATAGTTCAATATCTCAAATGTGATGATTACATGAGGAACTTGAATATTTGCAAAACTGACTGGTTTAAACCAGAGATCTATAGGAAATTCTACTCCACAGAGTTTTGAGCATACAGGATTACAGAGTAAAGACCATAGAAGAACACAATCTTTTCCACTCTCTTGTTTTTGTTTTTAGCTTGCTTGAAAAAGGTTTCACTAAGTAATCCAAGCAGGCCTTGAACTCTCAACCCCCTACTTCCTGGATTCTTGTTTTATGTTTTTATTTAAATTAGAAACATGCATGCCTCAAATGTCAATCCCAGCTCCCTCTCCAACCCCTCCTCCCTTGTCCCTCTCCCAGCCCTTCCCCAGCCCCCCACTTAATCCCCACATCATTCCCCAGGGAGGATAAAGCCCTCCTTGGAGGGATCTCCAGAGTCTGTCATTTCATCCAGGGCAGGACCTAGGCCCTTCCCCATGTGTCCAGGCTGAGAGAGCATCCCTCCATGTGGAATGGGCTCCTCCCAAAGTTCATTTGTATGCCATGGTGAACACTAGTCTACTACCCAAGGTCCCAGAGATTTCTGAGGCCTCCTCACTGACACTACATTCATGGAGTCTGGATCAGTCCTCTGTTGGCCTCTCAGCCATCAGTCTGGGGTTCAAGAGCTCCTCCTTATCCAGTCAGCTGTCTTTGTGTGTATCACCAGCAGGGTCTTGACTCTTTTGCTCATCACTCCTCCATCACCGTCACTGGGTCCCAGGGAGTAAGTTTAGTGTTTAGCTGTGGGCATCTGTCTCTGGTTCCGTCAGTCACTGAATGAAGGCTCTAGGATGGCATATAAGGTAGTCATCAACCTTATCATCAGGCAGGGGCTGTTAATGTAGTCTCCCCGCTATTGCTTAGTTTTCCAGTTGATGTCATCCTTGTAGATCTCTGGAAATCTCTCTAGTGTCATCTCTCTCCTCAAAGTTGTAATGACTCCATTTATTATGGTATCTCTCCTCCTGCTCTACTCTATTCTTACCTCGGCTCAACCTTCCTAGATTCTTAATAGTGAGGAAACGCAGTTTCATCTTTAGTATTTCAGATAGAAAATGCTGGATGTTGTTTGCACTTCCATTGGCTGCTTGTGTTTTAGTGTACTGATCAGTAAGGGTCCACACACGATACGAGTGGCTTTGACATTAGCTCTTTAGATGAGTTTCTCTGCTCACTATTTCCCAAGGAGACTTCGATGGTTCTTCTGTTCTCAGCATGGTCTTATGGGCGATATTCCTTCTCAGCCCCAAAGGTTCTCAAATATCCATTTTCAAGCCCTAAGTACCAAAGCAGCTTAGGAAATTAAAGATCGTGCCTCCACCAAACATATGTACACATGAGACTTTGCCAGAATCTGATTTCTTAAATTTAGTATATATATATATATATATATATATATATATATATATATTGTTTGCAATTCCTAACTCACACAAGAATGCATGGAGATAGACCAAATCACAATAGGGGAAAGCAGATCTCAAATTGTTTTTATGAGTAACAACAGTTATGATTACAAACTTGCTTGTTGCCAGAGTTTTTGCAGTTTGAATTTGGATACAATTTCCAATATCAGTTTTAGGTGGAAATAGGTTTTCCTGAGTTGGTGTCTATTAGAACTAAGTAAACACACTTGTGAATGTTTTGTGTAGATATTACAGCCTCTCATGCAAAGGAAGCTTTAAAATGAACTTTTTACATTGCGCTATATAGTAACTATTGTTATTGATGATTTTGCCCCAAATCATAGCATATTTGCCTCACATACTAAGCTTTTATTTAGGTATTCAGATTAATAAATTAACAAACATCTGAATGTCTACACATTAAAATATATCGTCAACTGACTATACAGTCAGTCACTCCCTTGTATCTGTGGGTATTGCTTTCACAGTTCTAATGTGGAAATTCATGTTTTTAGAGTGTTACACCTATCCTGGACATACTAGAACTTTTCTCATTATTTTCCAAATAATACAGTATAATGACTTCACAACATTTAGTTTGCATTGGGCAGCATAAGTAGTTTTCATTGCGCAGCATAAGAATCAAGAGACAAATTAAAGAGTAAGGGAGAATATGCTTAGGCTATAAATAAACTGTCCTTTTTTATATAAAGAACTTGAGCATCACTACATTATTTACATCATTGTATGGGAAGACCTAGAACAAAGTCTGCATGGATACTGAGAGATGACTGGATACTCTTCTAATCTTCTCTGAATAATTCAATTTAAGTCTTCATATTTATGAAACAAATATAAAAACTGGGATTAGAGAAAAGTGTTATGTGTTCTTTCTTTTTACTTTTAGCTAAATGTAACATTTATTCAATTTTAAAAAGTTTTTTGGCCAGTTAACAATTGTTTGGCAAATAAAAATATTGTCTTACTTTATATATAATGTAAACATGTATTTATATATGTATGCATTATGTCATATCACATAAAAATTCATAAGTTGGCAACAGGTGGTTTCCCTCTTTTTTTTTCAATGCCCATCTTCCTCTCAGATGTAATTGATATGCTGCCAGGAATAGTTGTGTCTCACTATTATGAAAAACCCTAAACTATTCAAATGCCATATATTCTGTAGGTCTTTGAAAGTTTTGAAGAATATCTATCATCTCAAATACATCTCTGTATAGCTAAAAAAAAACCCTAACTAACCTAACTATAAGTTTTGACTATTACAGGTAACTATAATCTAGACTTAATTATACATTCTATTTTTTTACCTAGAATTTTTTATTTGAATTAGAAACACGAATGCTTCACATGTCAATCCCAGCTCCCTCTCCCACCCCTCCTCCCTTGTCCCTCTACCAGCCCCGCCCCCAGCCCACCACCCAATCCCCACATCATTCCCCAGGGAGGGTAAGGCCCTCCTTGGGGTGATCTCCACATTCTGTCATTATGTGTTCTTAGGTACTTAGTGTAGACCTCTCTTTGCATTTCAGAACTCTTGGACCTGAACAGAACTTCAATATTTGAAAGCCCCTCTGGATTTCTTGATCTCCAAACAATGATGCTGGATGAGTATCAAGAGCGGCTCTTCATAGGAGGCAGAGACATTGTCTATTCCCTGAACCTGGAACGAATCAGTGATGGCTACAAAGAGGTATTGAAAGACCAAGTATTTGAAGAAGGCACAAAAGGGGTGGTATTAAATTACAAGGATGTTACCTGATATTTTTTTCATTGTCTTTACTGCTTTCAAATTTGAAATTATTACTTAATTGAAATAAAACTTCATTAAAAAGGAAACAATTTGAGGAAATTCATAAAACATACTATATGAACTTTTCTAGCATGTCACTGGTATCAAGATTTGCAGAGAGACACTTTTCATGTGATTTGATGTTCTTGCACAGTGAGTGACACACCCACCTGCTGTATGGAGACCTGAGTTAGTGGATACCGCATAAGTAGCGCTACCTCTGGGATGTATTGTTCCAGCATCCAAATGAGGACCTGTACTATCAGTATAACTGTCTGGTGTAGTTTCCTTGCCAATATTGTTAGCTATGATAGCCGTTCCACAAGCTTTTGGAAAGTGCATTATTAAAGTAAGATCAGTGTTGGGAATGGTTAACAGTGGGAAGGAAAGCAGTATGTACAAAACAGAACTGAGTGAGTTTTCTCAAAATCCTATCAATTTTACAGGAAACATGAAGAAATTCAGAGCATAGATTTTTGGTGTTGGTGTGTGCATGAAACAATGTACTTTGTTTATGCTTTATTTTTATGTTTATCAAAATGAGCCAAAATCCCTTTAAAATTATTTTATTCAAATTCAAAATTCTTTAAAAATAGGTCAAAAAGTAGCATTGCTCAGTCTTTGCCAAATCCTAATCCCTAGAGGAAATAGTTTAAAATATTTTGCTGTTTCTTTGGATTCTTACTATTTTATTTTTGTGTACAATTCATGCAGTAGGAGCTAGGGCTAGAGCTAGAGCTTAGTGGGAGAATATATAATTAGTACTTTGAAGGTCCTTGGTTCAACCCTAGCCTTCCTCATCCCCTTGCAAATATGAAAGACAGCATCTTTGTTTGAACTGGCCTATCTGTTATTTTTAGGGAAGCCAAGGACTTGCTTTCTCCTCTTTCAATAGAGAAATTCAGGGATCCATGCATAATCTATCACCTGCAACCCTTGACCCACGCTCCATCTTCCCAATATACAAAGACTGAAAGTTTTGGTTAACTAATAATTGCATGTTTCCAATTTTATAACTGAAGATAGTTATAACACTTTAACTTCCCTTCCTTTCTTTAGTTCTTTCTTTCTTTCTTTCTTTGCTCTTTCTCCTTCCTTCCCTTCCTGCAACTTTCCTGTTCATTGTGAAAATTAAAAATTGTACCTTATGTCATGTGTAGACTGAGATTCCATCCCACCTAATCCCACTGCCCTTCAGTCCCAAATAAATACACAGAGATTTTATTAATTGTAAACAGTTTGGACGATGGCTTAGACTTCTTACTGGCTAGCTCTGTCTCAATTATTAACCCATTTCAATTAAACTATGCATGGCCATGAGGCAATGGCTTACCCATAATCCTGCATGTTACTCCTTTGGCAGCATGGTGTTTCTCTGGCAATTTCTCTCTGTGTCCTCTCCTCAGCATTCTCCTCATCTGGTAGTCCCACCTATACTTTCTGCCTGGCTACTGGCCGATCAGTATTTTATTCATCAACCAATAAGAGAAACACAAATAGAGAAGGACATCCCCCAGCAGTCATGTTTTTTAGTTTTTGTTGTTTGCACTGACTTTCTCACCAACCCTAAGGGCTTTTGATCACAGCATTCTAAAGGGAATTTTACAGTTCTTTCAACAACAAAATGGATGTTGTGCTACTGGGGCATTCTCTGGGCCTCTCACCTCTGTGAATGTTTAGTTGTCTGGGGCCACATCTTTCTTACTTTAGTCCAGCATTTTTCTCAATCATTCCTTCTATATTTCTGAGGAAAAACTCATAGGTGATTTCCATTCATATGAATATAAATATATATTATGTATATGGTTACATGTGTGTGTGTGAGACTTTGATACACACACACATACACACACACTGGTAAAGTTAACAGATTCTGCCCAAATTTGAACACCAAATATGCCAATGCCGAAGAGAACACAGATGTTGGCTTTTGTGTTTACAGGAAAAGAAAGAAGAGTGGAATTGAATCAATGACTTTATGCATGACATATGTAAATACAGTTTACTCAACCCCTATAAAGTTAGTGAGTTATATTACTTCAGGACTGACCACTTCTATTAGATAACCAATACCTTCAAATAAGCACAATGACTTCTCTCACCTTCTCTAAGTGCTTTTGTACACGGATGCAGATACATGCACATGACCTTCCAGTTAACTGGAAGGATGTTCTATGTATTGCTCCCTCACTTTCATGATGTTCTCTTTCATATCTCAAACTCTCTTTCCAGTTCGCTCTTAGTAGTGATATACCTATTTACTCAGATTTTCTGTGATGGAATATGTAATTTAGAGACGAAAAAACCCCAAATAAATTAGGTCACAAAATAATGGACCTGTCAATGTCCAATGTCCAAGCATCAACGGACAATGGGTTCAAGGGGCCCTACTCCTCACTGTTGAACAGCTTGTGACTGATAGAGGCAGAGAGAGTAAGACTCATTGCCTTCATTTGGGTACCAACTGTGACCTCATCAGTCTCCAGTGGAATTCTGTGCACATAGGTGGCCACTGCTAAACTAACAGGTCACAAAAACAAGCAAAAAGTCATGAGTCTGGGAAAGGGGGTACTAGGGATGACAGAAAGGTCTTGGTTGTGACAAGACGATATAAGGAAAAGTAATTAGAATATATTCTGCAATGTATGAAACTGAAAACCAAAGCGAGTCAATATGATACTAAGCCAGATCAATCTCCATGAAAGTCGCTAGTGTGTGGACTGAGGGGACAGCACAGCATGTAAAAGCCCTTGCTGCAGAAGCCTGACCACGTGGGTTCATTCTCTGGAACACCTAGTATAAGGAGAGAACTGACTCCCAAAGCCGGTCTCTAACTCCACACACACACTCTGTAACATGCCTCCCCCATCATAAGATAGAAGTACATTTTTAAAAAAGAAAAATAGAATGTCTAATTTAGAAACTCTTCCATGAAATCTAACCTCTTGGAACGTGAGTAATATCTGCACTACAGATATGGTTCTTGCATTGTAATCAGGTCTTGGGAGTTAGGAACAGCTTCTTAGGACACAGAATCGTGAGTGCATTTCCCTGAACTGTTGCCTCCTATGAGTACAGAGAGATCAAGATGCAGCAGCTTCTACCATGATATGATTCCCCTTCAGAGTAGGGAAAATTGAATCTCCTACTTATTTCCCATTTACTGTTTTAGCCTAATTGTACCCTCAGGCCTTTAATGCTAGAATATGAGATTTCTTGGAGGAAATGACCTGTGAAAATGATATAAGAGTAGGGGACCTGGAGCATGGTGGGTTTTGTGAACTCTCAGGGAGGTAACAGACAGGCCATTGATCTTCAGGTAGTATGACAATCACAAGGCCAAGGATCTTCTGGGTGTATCTAGCAAGGATGCCAATGAAAGTACTTTACAACACTATTAGATTTAATGTCTTCTCTGCACTGATGAAAATATCTTGATTTTGTAGTAGCTAAAGCTTACACATTATTGAGAGTCTTCGCAATATAGTTAACATTACAAAGGCCCCTGTCAGGTCCATAGCAGGGGCAGATCCCAAGGAATTGTGCTACAGTTGGTTTATGTGTACTTGACTTTAAGGTAACATATTCCACTTACATTTCTTAACCTGTACTTGTTCTGCCTGTTTCACTCAAATAGTTAACAATACAGATCCCAGTAACACAGTAAGATCTGTTCAATTGTGTCTACTTACAATAGTATCAGAGTGAGGGAGATTTTGCAGAATTATATCATATATTCTCTCTACAATGTATCAATTGGTGTAGCTAACTTCTGCTATGATAAAATGACATACAGTGACATATTGAAATTTTCGTGGACGTTTCTTGTTTTCTGTCATTTACTGTTGTTTTACAGATTTAATCCTATTTACATTCTTGTTGGTTCCTTGCTGTTAGAGGTGGAAGCATAGCTCTGATTTTTGAAGTTTAAATCCTGACTCTTCATGTGTAACACTGGGAAAATTCCATCACTTCTTTGGGCCTCTGTTCCACACTTGTTAGAGGCAAATACCATTCCTCTTTGAATATACACGACTTGTTAATTTTGGTAAAAGACCATGTGAGATTTTTAGGACCACTATTAATAGTAGGTATAAGTTCCTATTACTCACTTTGAGCCTGTGATTCCATCACATCATATGTAGAACACACTTTATCATCCCATGCCAAATGATATTGGGTGATTCTAGTATTTGGCTTTACTAGTGCTACTAAGATCATTCTAGAAAGCGTCCCCTGTGACACAAACATTGCACAGCACACAGAGAATGCATGCAGAAGGAGAATCACTTACTTAATGATGCATGAAACCTGCTTGTAAATGATGGTGCCCCAGGTAACTTGGCCAAATTCTTCCTTCACTCATGGTGCCAATGATCTGCAAATTCACCTACATTTTCCCATTTGTTCTCATGGCCCACATGTTCGTTAACATTTTTCTTGATTCATGTATCTCTGGATGAATCCATTACTAGCTTGGGAACTGTAATTTCCATCTTAATCATTTGATTATATTTTTAGTATCATTAGTATGGATCACTTACAGTGTAAAACTTAGAACATGTAGTAGGGAAATAACATAGCATTTTATAATATCAAATGTGATAAGTGTTACAAGGAAAATAAAGCACCCCTGGGGGAAAAAGCAAAAAGGATGGCATGGCGAGCAGAAATCTATTTTCACATTGATTACACACTGCATTTCAAGGCTCAGTAATCAGATGTGACTTGTGGCTCCTGTACACGACTGCAGAACTGCAGAATGAAGTCAGAGTATATGGGCAAGGTAGATTTGAAAAATCAGATTACTGAAACAATTAAGGATCAAGCACTGCACCAGTTGGCTGGTGTGGTAGGTGATAAGTCATGTTTATGAACAGAAAGACAGGAATGAAAATTAA